GTCCCATTCTTAATAATTTACAAGGCTTCCAATTTCATTCCAGGTCATGGTATTTGTTAGTCATCGCAGTCTTCAGGGCACTTACACAGAAGAGATTAACGTATCAGTATTTAACGGATATTTAGTTCAACAACATTGCAGAGTTAATTGATGTCATTAAATTGCTCAAAGCCCAGCAGATTCCTGCTAGTCTATGTTAAGCAGGCTACCGCCCCATCAGTGCACAATCAAATGCAATCACCATTTTATTTAACTATACAGAACTGGGAGCTATTGATATAATCTGTAAACTGGAACAGATTACGTTCCAGAGAGGTTTTTATTTTTAAGAACTGAACCCATTTTATTTTTGTTTTTCATCTGTAAGAAGCCTATAGGAAACAAGGCAGCCCAATTTTAACTATAAGGGTAATTAACCAGTGGAACAGCTTACCTAGAGATCTGGTGGATTCTCCAGCACTTTAAGTCTTTAAATCAAGACTAGATCGCTTTCTAAAAGATATACTACAGCTCAGAGATTATCGTCTTCATGTGGAAATTACTGGTTGAGATTCTATGGCTGTGTTTTGCAGGAGGTCAGACTAGATGACCATAATGATCCCTTCTGGCTTTAGAATCTATTAATCTATGGTATTAAAAAGTTATGGGGAAAAGAGGAAATATGATCACGATTGTGTGTGTGTGTGTGTGTTATAGAAGTACCTGTTTCACATTGTCTCTGGGTGTCTGTAGATATAATACCCATGTAATAAACTGCATTTAGCACATAACATTGAAACACTTCACCTGTGCTCTGCTCACTAATCCATCTCTATCAGGCCTGTCTAAAATTCCACATACTTGAGCAGCTTTAAGCAGCTGTCGTATATTTTTAAGTCAACCTGTCACAAAAATGTTTCCTTCTTTCCATCAGATGTAAAATTTCTCATTCCCTACCCCCATTACATTGGTCTGAGGACTCGGTGAAAGATTAAAGTTAAATACCCCAACAACCCTGAATTGCTAGAAATGTAAGTTTTATACCAATGAGAAGGGTTACATTCCTAACTCTTAGTGGTACACACAGAACTTGGTTTTACCTATGGAAGGTCCAGAGATAAATGGACTTCAAAGTCATGATATTTATATGTTCAGATGAGCCATTTTAGATCACTTTTAAAGGTTTCTAATCTTTTAATTGTGACCTTTTTACAGAATACATGATGGATCACTATGGTACCAAGCACTTGTTTGGGATGCTCTGCATAACTCATTTGTGCGGAATTCAGCCACCCCAAGCTCAAGCCAATAAAACCTTTATACCACCAAGTATTCCTGTCTCACATATTTATACGTTTGTACACCACCCTTCACTCTAAAAGATATCAGGCAACTGGCTAGTACATACAAGCAGTACCTCTGGAATGTAACAGCCAACTGGTACAGTGTACAATAGTGAGGAGAGGAGAAATGCTGGCCATTAATACAAACAAGAACCTTTTTCTTAGTAAAACAAAAAAAAAAAATCCTGCCTTTTTGGTATCAATGCAAAATAGGGAAGATCCTGTTTTTAAAGTGCGGCTCCATATTTAAAAGTGAGATTGCAGAAACAGCATCAGGTGGGAGTCATGTTATTGTGTCTCAATGATTTGCAAAGCACATTTGCTCAGTTTACAAGTAAAAAGGGTTTTTTCCCCCCTAACTGCCAGCCCCGCAATCTCAACCTGGGATCTGAGTCAAGTTGACTTATTTCTGGCTCATTCATCATCACCAGTAATAAAGATTCTGCAGGTCGAATTTTACCCATGGTTACATTTGTGCAGCCCCATAAATGCTTACATGGAGTTGTGCAGATGTAACTGAGGGACGAATTGGGCCTGCATAACCTTTATTACTGGCAATGGTACACAGTCTGGAGAGAACACAATTCACTTTCTCATAGCTATGTTAGTTCTGCAGGAATGATAATATAAGCTTATTTTTATCACTACTGTAAACAGTTGCCTCAGGATTCAAACAGGTATCAGATCTGCTGAGTGAGAATGTGATTATTTGTAGAAAGTCTGTGTTCTGGTCACTACTGTTTTGGAAGGGCTTATATCTGAAAGACACCTGAGCAATCATCTGCATCGTGCTCAAATGTATCTGGCATGGGAAGAAGGGCCGAGTTGATCCTGCCAGGATTTGCACCTATGGTGCTGTGTGTAACCTATGTTTACACAGTTGGGAGAGCTTCCCCTCTCTAGGGCAGTGTTGCTAGAACACATAGTTTTACAAGTCAGCTACTGGTTTTCAGCTAACAGAGCTGGATCTTTTAGCTCAGGCAATAGGGGCTCATATGCTTTTGAATCCAGAGGTCCGAGGTTCCATCCCCACAGCCAAGGTGTCACATTACATATGTAGGAAAGGCATTTCAGAACCGATGCTTAAATTGCTGTACACTACCACACCCTCCATCTAACCGAGCAGAGACGAATATCGTATAAATATGTGCAACAAAGGAATCCCATAGATGAGCATAACCAAGAGATAATACCTGGTAACTGAACAAGTTATTACTGTGCAATAAACAACAGCTTCAATGTAGGCAGGTTTTACATAGTGGACCTGAGGCTTTTGAATCAGTTGTCTAGATTGGCGACTTTATGGCCAGGATGATTTTATCAAAGGGCAATGCTAACTCGAGAATAATAAATGACATGTGTAGGTCCAATTCCGTGAGATGAAGCGACGTTAATTAGAGGCTCAGCACTTTGTATGATTGGGCCCAACACATGCATAGTACTGTCACTGATTTGACCAATTTAGGTTGGTTTTAGCATCTTGTCATAATATTCAATTTCAGATTTTCTAGAATATAAAACAAAGCTGCAGTCAACACATTATTGACAGTTTTCTTAACATCAGCTTTGATAAATACTGACAAGCAGATTTCTATTCTAAAAATAAAGCATCAGAACAACTGTCCTGGGTGAATGAGAATGGCTATGTATGGGCAGTAATGTTAGGGTTCACTTTATACCACAGTTTCTGAACAGGACAACTTACTATTTAGTCATGTACAATGAGGATGTCTCTAAAACTAAACATGGAGAATGAGTTTTGCCTAACTTGTGCTGTCTACTATTTCCTTGTGAACAGTCACAAGCTAAAAAGTGGTAAATAGTTAATTACGCTGTACAGATAAGACAGCTCAATACATTATTTACTAGGGTTCTGAGGAGGAAAACAACAAGGAAGAACTGAAGGCAGGAAAAATGGATTTCCACATTTCCTCAAATAATCCTTAGATTTTTGTATTTCAAGTCAGTATCACAATGATTCTAATATGGCTCTTCTTTGAATATTTGGGTAATTATTATAAAGAATACCAGATAGATTATTCTTCAAAGCTTTTTGCCACAGACTTTCAGGTACTTATGGCAAAATAACAGGCTAGTTTCTACCTGTTGCATCTGTAATTCTGTTAACAAGAACATGGAGAGACACATGATGCCACATGAAAATAATTAAGCAAGAAACAGAAAGAATTACCAAACAAACTAATTGTAAAGAGACAGACTTAAAATGAACTATATACTATAGAATCCTGGTCTTAGGGATATAAACATTTCTCAAAACAGGTCATTCCAGTTGGGCCCTCTAAATGCATACGTGTCAGAAATAGAGACATAGGGAAGACAACTGTAGAACAATATAAATATTTGAGAAATTTTTACAATGAAAATTGTAAAGCTCAATGAAATTTTTACAATGAAAAATTGTAACCATAGCCTGCTTTAGAAAGCAGACCTTCCTTCAAGTAGAAAATGACATCTAAAGCAGATTGATCCAAGTGGCATTACCAGCGGACATGCTGGGAGCCAAGCTAAACATTTAGTTTCAATTCCATGTTATTTAGAATGATTTCTAATTTTAATCTCTATTTAAATAGATACGCTGCTTTCATTACATGCTTTCAAAATACAACACAGACATTTTCGCACTTAGACTGCAGTTAAAAGTAGAGGATTGTCACTTAGTGAAGTTACAATGGATAATGTAAAATGAGAATGGCACCAAATATTAGTGTTTAGTGTTCACTAAAGTATTTTTATAGCACATTTGCGAAGGGAGAGATTTTCCTGTGGCCAGGTTTCAATGCCGTGACTCCCCACTTAATCAGGATAGAGATGGCAGGACAGTCCAGCCAAGGCTTCATTAACTGAGTAGAGAAAGCTGAGATAAGTACACATTTTTCTGAATGGTATCCCTTCAGAAGTTAAAAAGTGAAGAGTTTTTGCAATTACCTATTGTACATAAACATACTGGGGGGGGGGGGGGAATTGTTTAACTGGGTATTTAACAGGCAGCCATCAGCGTTTCCACTAGAGGTTACTTTGTAGTTAGGACAGTGAGTGGGCATTGGTCATAGGAATACACATGTTGAATAACCGACTACTGTTGTATCCCCACATTTTGGTTTACTAGTAAATTATGACTCAGCCCGCACAAACTCATCACACAAACCGACCCCAAAACCGCAACAGGGTTTGTTTGGTTTTGCCTCCAGTGAGCCTGTTTCACTAGCTTTACCGCTTGCTCAAACCAGCGAATTAAACAGATTAACATTAAAATCCACCGTGATAACAGCAAAACGGAGTAAAGTCAACAGAGGATAAACATTCTGCAAAGCAACCAGCTGCCCAGCAATCTGCAACGAAGGGGGCTGCAAAAGCACCGAAGTTGTTCATTAATCTCACACCGCAAGTTACAGGGAACAGAAAGCTGGCAACATACCCAATACAGTGTAGCGGGCAATTAGGACGTTGGGTGCAAATTCTTTCCGTCCCATTAATTAGTTTATGTTTCCTTTATTAGAATGGATCATATTCCCGGGGGATGAGCTCTGTCGGGGGTTCTTAGCCTCCATTCCTTGCAGCTACAGGGCCAGCGTCGAGCCAGCATAAACTCCTTTACACACACATGCACGCTGCAGCCAGGTCCCAAAGGGCGCAGACCAAACAAAGGCATGCACTTACCTAGGACAAACCAGAGGAAACGTCTCGGGATGAAAGTCATCTCCAGAGCCATGATGCAAATTATGCCACAAATCTGACTTCGGATGAGTCTACCCCGAGCCACGGGACCGGCGCGGGCGCCCCATCAGAAGGGAAGAGACAGCGGTGGGGAGATCCTGCCCTGCCGAGTAATTAAGAGCAAAATAACACACACACCCCCGTGAAGCCCCCCCAGCGGGCCGCAGGGGAGCAGGCCGCCCAGCTGCCGCGCCCGGGGCAGTCGCCGGAGCTGGGACCGCGCTGGTTTGGCTGCCCCTGGCCTCTCCTCTCTCCAGTCCCCGCGCAGGCTTCGCCGCGGCTGGCGAGCCGATGCCCGGCTCCGGGGCTGGGCGGTCGCTGTACCCGCGAGCCCGGGCCGAGGCAGCCGGCAGCGGGCAGGGTCGGGCCGAGGCGCAGCCCGGGGAGCGCCGCGCGTGAAGATCACTGGGCGGATCTAAGTTTAGACCAACCTGAGCCTTTAAAAATAGCCGGACCGACGCTGGCAGCTGCGCCAGCCGTTTACAAGCCAGGCCGGCGGCTCCGTGAGCGGGCGCTGCCAGGTGCAGGCGAAAAGCAGCGGGGCCAGCCCCCCAGCGGGGAAAGGCGCGAGGGGAGGTACATGAACGCTACGGGGGAAGGGAGATCCAGCACGGGACGGGCTGGAAGGCTGCCACGGAGCGGCATTTGGAAAACTGCTTCTGTTTCATACGTGGGAGCGTGATCCTACTTGTACAAACTTCCCCCAGCGCTGATGCCATCTCCACAAGGGGCTGCGCGGCCGGCTAGCCTCGGGCGGGATCGGGGCACTGCAAACGCGCCCATGGGAAGCTGTGATCTTACCGCCTCTCCACGTGTTTGGGGGTTTCCGGATATATAATCATTACCGTCAATAACTTTCGCTAATCACCCTTTCACGCATTCCATTCCACTTTTTGCATCCATTATTACACAGGTCCATCCCATCGCTACGCTTTTTTAATAACGGTATCAAAGTTGTGGCGCACATGCAATATTGTTCCTTAGCAAGCAAATAACTCACTCGGATTCGGCCCCCACAACTGAATTCTTACCCCTAAAAGCATCTGGCCCTACGGTGTCATCCCACTTCTAAGTAGAACTCAGCCCTGTGACTCAACAGAGTCCTGCCTAAAGCCTGATGGCTAAATCATGTCCATAACTAAATAAAAATTACCTACCCTTTGCATTTGCCTAAAAGAAAAGAGGGGACCTTGGTATGTTATGTCTATGTAGTACTGTTTGGTCGTGTAGCTTTGAGGAGCTGAAAAATTGCATAATTCGATTTCAGATCCTGTGAAGCATGTGGTATTTGGGAACATGTACATGCTGCAAATCGTTTACTTTCTTGTCTTTTTCATTTTTGTGAAAAATCAATTTTAAAAAATCACAAAATGTAGCATAGCTCCTCCAGCTGTTAAAGGCTGATGGTGCATTGGAGTTTCCCACCACTGATAGACCATTTAAAATGGTAATTTAACATTTATAGTCCTCTTAAGGAAGAGCCCTTGTGGTAAATGTTTAAACAAAGACCACCTTTTTAACAAAAAGGTAGGCAACCCATTGTCACTAAATTATATTCACATATAGTGGCTTTAATATCGGATACTTTCCTTGATTCAATTGAAATGTGTCTTATCTGGCATCAAGTGAAAACTGTAACTGTACTTGAGGGTAGGTGACATAAGAACAGCCATACCGGGTCAGACCACAAGTCCATCTAGCCCAGTATCCTGTCTTCTGACCGTGGCCAATGCCAGGTGCCCCAGAGGGAATTAACAGAACAGGTAATCAAGTGATCCATCATCTGTCACCCATTCCCAGCTTCTAGTAAAACAGAGGCTAAGGACACCAGCCCTGCCTATTCTGGCTAATAGCCATTGATGGTCCTATCCTCCATGACCTTATCTAGTTCTTTTTTGAACCCTGTTATAGCCTTGGCCTTCACAACATCCTTTGACAAGGAGTTCCACAGGTTGTGTGTTATGTGAAGAAATACTTCCTTTTGTTTGTTTTAAACCTGTTGCCCATTAATCCCCTAGTTCTTGTCTTATGAGTAAATAACACTTCCTTATTTACTTTCTCCACACCAGTCATGATTTTATAGATCTCTATCATATCCACCCTTACTCACCTCTTTTCCAAGGTGAAAACTCCCAGTCTTACTAATCTCTCCTCACATGGAAGCTGTTCCATACCCCTAATCATTTTTGTTGCCCTTTTCTGAACCTTTTCCAATTCCAATCTCTCTTTTGAGATGGAGCAGCCAGGTCTGCACACAGTATTCAAGATGTGGGTGTACCATGGATTTTTAGAGCTGCAGTATATTTTCTGTCTTATCTACCCCTTTCCTAAAGATTCCCAACACTGTTAGCTTTTTTGTCTGCCACTGCACATTGTCTGTTTTCTGAGAATTATCCGCAATGACCCCATCGTTTTATATGTATAGTTGGGATTGTTTTCCAATGTGCATTGCTTTGCATTTATCAATTTCATCTGCCATTTTGTTGCCCTGTCACCCAATTTTGTGAGTTCTCTATTTGTAACTCTTCACAGTCTGCTTTGAACTTAACTATGTTGAGTAGTTTTGTATGATCTGAAAAATTTGCCACCTCACTGTTTACCCCTTTTTCCAGATCACTGAACATCATTGGTCCCAGTACAGACCCCTAGGGTACATCATAATTTACCTTTCTCCATTCTGAAAACTAACCCTTTATTCCTACCCATTGTTTCCTATCTTTTAACCAGTTACTGGTCCACGAGAGGGCCTTCCTTCTTATCCCATGAGAGCTTACCTTGCTAAAGAGCCTTTGGTGACACTGAATATACACCCACAAAAATAGCACATTCATAGTTTCACTCATTTAGGAAAAAGAAAAGTTAGACGCTTGGAAAGATCTTCAAAGTATTTTGGGCAACAAAATCCTTTGCTTTGCTGCCATCTGTTGTAATATGAGGAAACCTGCTAGCTTGGAACCAGTAAATAAAGTCACACAACACTCAACCGTAAGGCAGTCATTTTTGAGGTTTCTGAGAGTAGTTAGTGCTCCACCTTATAGAGAAGTCCTACCACCACAGATTGTTGGGGGTCACTTATTGAATAACTATGGGGGGGTCTATAATCCAGTTGAAGTCAGAATCTTCTCATTGACTGCAGCAGCCTCTGGATCAGACTCTTACACCTAGAAGGGATCCAGAACCTATACCCCATTGCAGGCCAAAGTGCTCTACCTCAACCGGACAGAACTGCTCCATCTTTGAGGCTGGGTTGCCCAACCTATGGCCCAGGCCGTACATGGCCCACGAGAGCATATCATAGGGCTTGCTGCCTGGTTTAACACCATATACTAACGGCTGACTCATTAGCATTTTGTCATCATGTTTACATCAATTTAGTTGACAGAAGTGTGTAAACAGACAATACTGTATCTAGACACCACCTCTCTAAATGCATACAAAACAAGATGGACTTAAATATAAATCAATACAGATTTAAATCTTATTAAGATATGTAGAATGCGTTTGGCCCACACAAGGTTGTGCTTAGGTTTATGTGGACCTCCTGTTTAATGTTGGGTCCCACTGCCTTAGGCTTAAGGAAGGATGGCAGCCATTAGGGACAGACGTCAAAAAAGAGCGGAGGAAAGAAGAAAAATATATTGGTGGCCAGTTGAAATGCTAAGGAAGGCAGGCTTCACTCATAGATAAAAAAGCCTCTTTTCTTTTCATTAGGGCAACTGCAGTTCCTTAAGTCTTTAGATAGGACTCTGATAAATTACTCCTTCAGTACTAAAACTTACCCTAGATATTGAATGGGATTATACATAAATCCTAACCTCTTGAAGTTAGTGTACTTTTGGATAAAGGACTATAAAAGATGTTACAATTGATTAAATTATTACCTTGAATCTATTACCTCCTGCAACGTTAAGTGGCTTCACTTGCATAATATACTTAAGCTCATCCTTATCTGGAAATACTTGTTTTTTAAAATAAGGTGATTAGTGGTACACTACTAATGAGTTAACAAGGCTCAATCCACAGCAGGCTCACTAGTAATTAAAGGTATGCAAGAGCCGGGGGGGGGAATCTTGAGCTCAGTGCCTTTCTTCAAGTACATCACAAATTACTCCTATTGACTTTTGGTGTAGCTCTGCCCTAAGAAATAACTGTGTAAAAATAGCAAACATCCGATATATCCTGTACACTTTTAGTCATACCTGCGTTTAGTATGTAACCATATGCATTTTTACTCCTATGAGCCCTGCAGATCCAACACAGCTACATAACAGAGCTGGACTATGTCCCAGAATTATCAACTAAAATCCAATTACAGGATCAAATCCTGCCCTCAGTGGGGTTGCATGGACAAGTGTAACAGTAAGGTCAGCATTTGAAGTCAATGGTGTAACAGGATTTGTCTGCAGAATTTTCATTAATAGTGTGAGCAGGAAACAACAGCTTTGAGGCATGAATTTCATATTCAGGCTTGAATTTGCAATGCTGGCTGCTATAAATAAAACACCTCAATACCAGCTATTGGCTTACCTTCAGTAGATAAGATACACTTTCAACTGAGCAGAGGTTTAAATTGGAAGTGAGGGGTTTATCTGAATTGAGAAGAGCAATACACCAATGTGATTTTTTGAAGGGAAAGATAACAGAAGCTTTCATCAAATCTGTGTGAACTACCATAATGGAATATAGTTCTAACATTTTTATAAAACAGTCAAGTTTAAACAAATGTTCTAAGTTATGCACCAGCAACTCAGAATTCTAATTATTATACAGTTTTAGACCCCTTAAAGAGCTTTCTATCATTACTTTATGGGTGTCTTTATTAGCCAAGCAAGGAGCACTTAATACAACCTGCAGAGCTAATTTACAGTGGATTTTTCAGCATTGATAAACAGATTTCTTTTACTAATTAAAATACAATCTGCTCTGGCTTCTGTATGTTCCATATTAAGATGTGCATGTAAACTTAGGCCACACAATGGAGATTTCATTTTCAGGAAAGAACTTTAGATTTTTTTACATAACATTGACAACTTATTAAACATCCAGTACACTAAAGCTGTGGATGCTTAAAAAGCTATTTCCATGCCTAAATCTAAGGGGCACTGAAGAACCACAGTAATGCGTGCCTTAGTAATACCTGAAATAGAAATGGCATTCCAAAATTAAAGAAATCCTGTTTCACTGAAATATGATCTTTTTACTTATATTACCTAGAAATATCAGCTATGGAACACTTGAGCCAACTGCTGGAGAAGAACAGAACTGCAGGGAGGTGATCAATGGACCATTTAAGGCTGAGCTCTATGTATACACAGCACATAGAAAGGAAGTGATTAGAGCAGGGGTGGGCAAACTTTTTGGCCTGAGGGCCAAATCTG